CATTTTTCTCTCTCTCTCTCACACACACACACACACACACACACACACACACACACATTGGTCTTTTGATTACTAACTGGGAAAGAAAAGAGTATACAAGGTACCTGGCATCTTTACAAAAATTGTCCATTTGCTAGAGCATAAAAACTTCATATTTACTGACCTCAGTTAAAAATTAGAATATTTATAAAAGGACTTTGAAGAAAACTTAAGCAGAGGTTCAATATCCTGAGAATTAGTTTGTCAAAGAATAACCAGCAGAAAGAATGGATAATTTCATCAAAGAAAATGACAACATATTAAATCTCGTGTAATACGTTCAAAGCAGGGGAATATTTGTATATCAAAGGTGGCAGCTACTGACTCAGTGAGTAGAGTGCCAGGCCTGGGGTCAGGAAGACTTATGTTCCTGAGTTCAAATCTGGCCTCAGATACTTACTACCCAGTTTCCTTAATCTATAAAATCAGCTAGAGAAGGAAATGGTAAACCATTCTAGTATCTTTGCCAAGAAAACACCAAATGGTGTCATAAAGAGTCAGTCATGACTGAAACGACGAAACAACAATGAAATTTATATATCTACACACAATAAAAAAGAGAACAGATTGATTCATTGGGCATAAAATGAAAAAAAAAATTTAGAAAAGCAGTTTTCCCTTCATCAGAGAAATGCAAATAAAAACAACTTCATCACACCTATCAGATTGGCCAAGTTGACAAAACAAGAAAATAATAAATGTTGGAGAAGATGTGGGAATATTGGAACCCTAATGCATTGCTGGTGGAGTTGTGAAATGATCCAGCTGTTTCGGAGAGCGATTTGGAACTATGCCCAAAAGGCTATAAAAATGTGCATACCCTTTGACCCAACAATAGCACTTCTAGGGCTGTATCCCAAAGAGATCATACAAATGGGAAAAGGATCCACATGTACAAAAATATTTATAGCAGCTCTTTCTGTGGTGGCAAAGAATTGGAAATTGAGGGGATGCCCATCTATTGGGGAATGGCTGAACAAGTTGTGGTATATGAATGTAATGGAATACTATTGTGCTATAAGAAATGATGAACAGGCTGACTTCAGAAAAACCTGGAATGACTTGTATGTCAGATGCTGAGTGAAGTGAGTAGAACCAGGAGAATGGTTGTATGCAATAATAGCCATGTTGTGTGATGACCAATATTGATAGACTTAACCCTTCCCAGCAATACAAGGATCTAAGACATCTCCAAAGGCCTTGTGAAGGACAATGCTATTCACGTGCAAAGAAAGAACTATGCAGTTTGAATGCAGATCGAAGCATACTATTTGCTCTTTTTTTTCTTCTGTTGAGTTGTGTTTCCTCTTTCTGGTGGTTCCTCCTATTGGTTCTAATTCTTACAACATCACTAAATGTGAAAATATGTTTAATAGGAATGTATATGTATAGCCTATATCAGATTGTGTGCTGTCGTGGGGAGGGAGGGGGAGAAAAATTTTATACTCAAAAGCATATGGAAATGATTGTTGACAAATCAAAATAAATTATTTTGGAAAAAAAAGGGAATTTTTCCCCTAAAACAACTAAACATTAATATAGACATTCTGAAAAACCACAAAAACAGTGAACAAAATTGAAAGCAAAAAAAGAAAATTATGAATGGATAAACTAGGAGACGTTTAAAGAAGTTAACAAAATAAAACAATGTTTGGTCTGCTTTGTAAAGAGGAAAACCAAATTCCCAGTATCAAAAATGGAAAACAGAGAAATGAGAACAATTAAAGAGGAAATAAAGGAAATTATTAGAAATAATTTTACTCAACTGATAAATAAAATGAATGAATATTTTAAAAAATATAAAATACCTGGATTTAGAGGAATAAGAAATTAAGAGAATTTATATAAATAAATCTTAAGATTAAATAATTGAATAAGCTATAAATGAACTCCAAAAAGGGTGGGAAACAAAACTAGATTAATTTGCAAGTGAATTCTATCCAACATTCAATTGTTACATGAACTGTTTGCAAAAACAAGACAACAAGAGGTCCTACCAAATCACTTATATTATAAAAATGTGAATTTTCTTACCAAGGATAGATAGAACAGAGATGGACCAGGGATTTAAGCATGGAGAGTTTTCAGGTAATCTCTGAATTTGGATGAGGGAAAAAATTACATCTTTATTTTCACCAACCTTTGATTTCCTCTGTATTCCTATGTACTTTAATGAATTTAAAAACATTCTGAGAAGGGTTCCATAGGCTTCACTAGATTGCCAAAGGTTAAAAATCTATGAAAGGTCAAGAACCCCTGTTACTATACAAATTATTTTAATGAAAATCATTGCCCCCCAAAAAAGAATAAAAATTAGCTAAGAGGCTGTAAAAATATATTTTAAAAGATTATCAACTACAAGGTTGGATTTATACCAGAATTAAAAGGATGGCTCAGTATTAGTAAAATTATAAGCATATACCATTTATATGTTTGTATATTTATATCATATAATTAAAACAGTCACAGTTGTATCAACAGATTTAAAAAGTTTTTGACAAATTACATTACCAATTTCTATTAAAAACACTAACAAGAATGGACTTTTCCTTAGCATGGTAAATAATATTTATCTAAAACCAAGAGCCAGAACTGAATAATGGAGAAACACGAGAAACATTGGCTTTTCTATTAGAGCTGGCCTAAAGCAAGGATACCCATGTTCATCACTCAGTAATCACTTCCAATCAGTAAATTAAACATTATGTATCTACTCTGTGCCACAGCACTCTCTTAAGCACTGAGAATAACCCCCTCCCAAAAAATGAAAGACAGTCCCTGTCCTCAGAGAACTTACAGTCTAATGGGGAAAAGCAACAAGTTAGGTTGGAGGTCTAGGTCCAAAGGAGTGCATTTGGGTGGAAAATGAGATAGGTCACCCAAGCGTCCTCCTTAAAAGGATGTTCTGGAAGAAGCTTGTTTCCACCTCCACCCTCTCTAGCTGGAAGAAAGGGCAGAAGGTACTTGATGAAATGTGTGTTTCAGGAGTAAGTGATCTTGCAGCATGATGATGGCTCCCGGGAAATGATGGCAAAATCCAGAAGAGAAGTTTTAGAAATGCTGTCTATAGCAATAAAAAAAAAAAGAAAAAGTAATTTAGGGGAAAGGCATAGACAAACTTATCAATTTTTACAGATGAGATGATTATCTACTTAGAGAAACCTAGAGACTTAACTGTAAATTAATTGAAACAGTATAAATCACTAGTTTTTCCATATATTACCAACAAAAACGTGCATGAAGACTCAGAGAAATGAAATTCAAAATAATTACAGAATGTAGAAAATGTCTGGAAATCCACTTACTAAGACACATAAGAACTATATGAATACACCTAGTAAGTCTAGGTAATTTGAGATATATTAACTGCTTGTGGTTGACCATGCCAATAGAATAAAAATGACACTACTACTTAGTTAATTATTCTGTGACATGCTTATGAAACTTTATGGCGATAGAAAAATCATAGCAAAATTTATCAGAAGCAACGAAAGGACAAAAATCTTATGAAATGTAATTTTTTTTAAAAAAACAGGAAAGTCAGGGAAAGGGGATCTAGCCATACCACATCTCAAACTATGGTACAAAACAACATTCATCAAACTATAGACAGAAAAGCTGATCAGGGCAACAGATTAGGTATACAGTATGGAGTAGCAAACAAGTATGGTGGCATAATATTTGATAAATTAGCATTGTTGGAGGGAAGGTCCATTAACTCTGAATTTCAACCATATATCAAATTACCTTTTAAGGAAACCTACCTGTTTCCATCAAATTTTAGAGTTATAAGTTGAACTGCTCCAGCCTTTTGGTCATCACAAAAGATGCCAAGGTTCCTACCCAGAGTAGCATCAGGCCACAGCCAGGTGAAAGAGATGAATATTCCCAAACTTAGCACAAAAAAAATTTCAGTCTTCTTTAATGTCTTATGATGGAATCTTCAAACCATAAAATACACATTATTTTGGCATTCCCATCTTTTGAAAAGTACTCAAAACCCTTGAATCATGGAATGGCTTACTGTGAATTGTCTAGCAGACTTCTTAACAGTCAACAAGTATTTTTAATGTGCCAGAGACTGTGCCAGGCCTCAAGGATGCCAAGCTAAAACAAAACAATCCCTGGTCCCAAGAGCCTGCATCTTATTAGAAAAAGATGACATATATACTAAAAGTTTAAAAAAAAATTATGGAGGAGAGCACTAGAAGCTAAGACCAAGAGACCAAGAAAGATACAGTGTAGGAGGTTGTACCTAGCTAAGCTTTGAAGGAAGCTAAGCCTTCTAAAAGTGCAAGCATGCCTCCCTGGGCATTGGGGGCAGGCATCCTATGAAAAGACATGGAGATTGGAGATAAAACATAATGTACAATGAGAGTTATGAAGGAGAATAATATGTGATATCCTGGACCAAGATTTGGAAAGGCTTTAAAGTGCCAAAGAGTTTATATGTTATCTTTGAATTAATGGGGAGCTGCTTGAACTTTCTGAGCGGAAGAGTGCCATGTTGTCTTAGGAATATCAGTTTCATAGCTGTATGAAGGATGGTTTGAGATGGGAGAGAAATAAGGCAGTAATAGGGGCCTGAACTAGGATGTTTAGTCTTCTTATGACTAAAGATGTAAAGACAGATCCAAACAGATTTGCCCACAAGTTAAGGGTCATACAACCAGAGACTGAAGTTGAACGTAGTTCTTTTTCACTCTATATTCCAGACATTATGCTGTCTCTATTATGCTAATATATAATAAGTATTACGGTTTCAATGTAAACCTTGTTTGTAAAACTAAGATGAAGCCATCCTTTTTCAATGCTGTTCTGATGACAAAATCTAGACTGAGAACCTATTTGAAGAATTTGGCATTATTTACCTGAGAGTAAATTAGATATAAGCGATGCTGAATTGTGACTGGCATACTCCATATGCATAACAGCATTATCTAATTTGTTTGTATTACTAGGTTTTTGAGGAACCCTTCATCAGTCTCTTTGCTTTGGAACACTGTGAAGGAAGAGAATTCCATTTAGGAGATGCGATCAACTCGATTCTGAATAAGGATCTCTACTTCTACACACAGTCAGTGTGGGTAAAAAGTGGATTGTAAGTATGGTAGCAGCTTGTGTTTAGTTATCCCCCTGGCTTGAGCATCAGATAATATTACTTAGTATTTTAAAAGCTCTAATAGCATGGTCTTCTTCCCAAGACATTCTTCTTATGTTGGAGTTTCTCACAGATAATAAGGCAAAATTGGTAAAAAGGACTTTCATCTGTATAGAAGTAGTCAGCATTCCCCAAGGTCTAATTCAGAAGATAGTCATCCCTTCTCCTCCCCCACCCCACCCCAAAAAAGGAGGAATTGCTGTTCATTCACAACCAATAGAATAAGCATACCTTACTGTCTAAAATATAGGAAATGGTAAACAGTTTGAGAGCAGATTTCCTTAGTCACCTTACCGGAGAAATGTATAATTGGTCCTTGAACCAGAGGACATCAGATGTTAGACCATTCAATTTTAAGGGAAACTATAAATAATATGATCCTGTTTGATTATTGATTGATTGATTGTTACTATGATCCTATGATTATTTAATCATCTAAGATGGCTTAGCTACTCTGTATAGTTCTGACATCAACCTCGGAACCTTTAAAGAAGTTTTAATCTTCCACCTAGAAATACTGGATATTCTGTTCAATTCAACCAATACTATTGAGTTTTGAGAATACAAAACCCTAAACAATCCATGCCTTTAAGAGGCTGGGATCCCATTGGGTGTGGGAAGAATATAACATATATGTATATAAATAAATATAAAGTCATTTCTATAGTGGAAATGCATTGCTAGTGAAAGATTCACATAGAACGCTTCTGACCAGCCATCTCTGATTCTACAAACTGCCCAATTTGTGAGTAGGGGAGAAATGTGATTAGACCTATATTTTAGGAATGTTAGGTTGGCAGCTGGTTGGGGGATGGATTGGAGAGGGTAGATACTGGAAGCCAACAGCCAATTAAAGAGGCTAATGTAATAGTCATACAAGAGGTAGATGAGGGCCTGAAATGTGAAAGAAAAAGATGTTATGTAGATTAAAAAAGAGAAAAGAGTTTGAGAAAGCTAATATCCAAAAAGTATCTAAGGTGTGGTGAGAGGTAGGAGGAGGAATAAGGGGGCAGCTCAGAGAAGACAGTGGAATAAAGAAATATACAAGAGTAAAGAGTGGTTGACAGTCAGAAACTGCAGAAAGGTAGAGCATAATAAAGACTGAGAACAGACCATTGGATCTAGTAGGTAAGAGAACACTGGTTACACTGGAGAGAGTAATGAAAATTGAAATTGGAAGTTAGATTGTAAACGGGTGAGAAGTAAGCAGGAGGTAAAGAAATGGAGGCAATGAATATAGAAAGGGGATCTTAACCCTTTTTTGTGTCAAGAAACATGTGTTACTTGTGGTGACATGTAAATAACTAGGTAATGTAAGCCATATAAAGAGTAGATGAAAGCGGTAATATGAATGTGCAGGTAGGTCACTGACATCTGAGGTAGGGGTGAGGGATGAGGTTGGGACTAGGAAAGGCCTCCTGCAGAAGGTGGGACTTGAGCTTAATCTCCTGACTCTGGGCATTTTCAGTGGCTACTTCCCATGGCCCTTATTTCCACCTAATAGCTGACTTCAAGTCCAAGTTAAAATCCCACCTTGTACTCCTGTACAAGTCTTTCCCAATCTCTTTTAACTCTAGTACTGTCCCTCTGTCAATTATTTCCAATTTACCCTATATATAGACTGTACTTATTTGTTGTTGATTCCCCCCATTGTCTTGTCTCTCCCATTGGACTAAGGTCCTTGAGAGAATGGACTGTCTTACTATTTTTTGTATCTTCAGCTCTTAGCACAGTGCCTGGTACACAGTAGGCACTCAATAAATAATTGTTTAGGGGCAGCTAGGTGGTGCAGTGGCCCTGGAGTCAGGAGGACCTGAGTTCAAATCCAGTCTCAGACCAGACACTAGCTGTGTGACCCTGGGCAAGTCACTTAACCCCAATTGCCTCGCCAAAAAAACCCAACAAAATAAATAATTATTTGCTTAATGAAGCAACCCAGATAATGTAAGACATATAAAGCCACTGCAATCAATGTATAGGGTATATAGGAGGGGAGTGAGATATGGAGGATAACACTGAGGTTGCAAGGCTGAGTGGCAGAAGTAAACATAGATGTTCAGAAAACAGGAGGGTTTGAGGAAAAGATAATGAGCTGTGTTAGGACATGTGAAATTAGGGATGCTGACTGGACCAATGGATCTGATGAGATCAACTGAGAGAATATAGGATACACAAGAGTCTGTGGGGGACACTTAAGGTAAATGTTGGTGACATTGGAGATCCAGCAGAGACCAAGAAGTGACCACAAAGATAGGAGGAGATTCAGTGCAGTGGCACAGAAACCCAGAGAGGAGAGAATATCTGGGAGAAGGTGATCAATAGTGATAAATGCTGCAGTGAGATCAAGTATGCAGACTGAGAAAAGGCCATAATATTTGGCCATTAAGAGATCATTTGTAGCAGGTAGTTTCAGTTGAATGGTTTAGGTGGGAAGCCAGAGTGGAAAGAATTTAGAAGCGAGAGAAGAGGAAGTAAAAATGCCAAATGTAAGCAGTTTTCTCTAGGAGTTTAACCACAAAGGGAAGGAAAGATAAAGGATGGTAGCATGAATGGTAAGGTCAGGTAAGGATTTGTTAAGGAGTGGAGGAAAAGATAATTATGAGACAAGAGAGAATGAGATCATGAGCAGAGGAATGGGCCTTGTTAAGGAAAAGGGGCACCTCTTTTTCTAGAGGCAGAAGTGAAGATGGAGAGAATAAGGAGTTTGAGGATATGAAATGAGAAAGGAGGAGCTTGTAATAAGTCCCCTTTATTTTCTCAATTAATTATGACATAAGGTGCTCTCTTGATAAAGGCAGGGTACATGAGGATTTGAGAACCAAAGGGAAGATTTTATTTTTTTTTCTTTTTGAAAACATATTTTCTTTAATAAATTATTTATTTTTAGCTTTTTTCTTTTTTTTAAATTTTATTAATTTACTGATTTATCAACAATCACTTTTGAGTTGAAAATTTTACTCCCCCTTCCTCTCCCCCAACCTCCCCAAGACGGCACACAATCTGATATAGGCTTTACATTTACATTCCTATTAAACATATTTTCACATTAGTGAAGTTGTAAGTAAAAATTAAAACCAATAGGAGGAACCATCAGAAAGAGGAAACAAAACCCAACAGAAGGTAAAAATAAGTGATAGCAATTCGACTTCCATAGTTCTTTCTTTGGATGTGGACAGCATTTTCCATCCCAAGGCCTCTGGAGATGTTTTAGATCCTTGTAATGCTGAGAAGGGTTCAGTTTAACAATATTAGTCATCACATAATGTGGCTGTTATTGTGTACAAAGTCCTCTTGGTTCTGCTCACTTCACTCAGCATCAGACCATATAGGTCTTCCCAGGTTTTTCTGAAGTCAGCCTGTTCATCATTTCTTATAGCACAACAGTATTCCATTACACAAAGGGAAGATTTTAAATAGCTGCTGTGAAGTGTATAAGGTGAGCAATCATAGAACAATAAAAGGATTGAGCAGTGAGTACCTAATTGAGATTAGATACTGTAAATTTGTAGTGAACCTAATCAACATTAACAGTGTGGCTTCTCCATCAGGGTTCTGCTATATCCAACTAGAAAAGGTACATTGTAGGGGTAACCTAAAGTTGGGGCTGGGCAAAGTATGACTGGCAATATAACAAATGAACGAGGCCCTATGGTGTGTGTTTGAGCTAATGTTTTCCCTGATAGCTTTTCTAAGACCTTCCTTCCTTCTCCAATATTGAACCTAGGTTAGATCCTAATATCATCAGAGTCAGGGAAAACATACACTACCTAGCAGATCACGTGACTGGGTATACTGAGAATACAATTTTAAGTATGCTAATATTTGAAGTCTTGACTCATGGGAATAGTCATAAGGCACATCCAGGGAAGATTTGGAGATTACCTTGTAACAATCTGGAGAAAGTTTTGATATAATTGAAGGAAAATTATATATAACTTTTATATAAGAATTCATCTTCTACTCTATGCATATAAAAGCAAAGTATATTGAAAAAAATTTCTAATCCTAGAAGACTAAAATAAAGAAACAACATAGTGTGAAAAATGCTACCATATTTTGGTAGTTTCTACTGAATTTATATTATTTTATATTTTGGCATATTTATTCTTTATTTTTTTGTCATTCAGGTGGATTGCTTATGAAGGATCTAATTTCCTGGGAAGACAAATTTTGCTAGAACCTAGGGAGATTTCAAACTGGTCAGCATTCAGTGGCTGGAAAACAATTGGTTCTCTCCGCCCCATCAAACAGGTAATGAGAAAAAAGTTTTTCCTCCTAGTACTTCAAATAATAACTCGCAATGGTTAATAACGTTTACAAAGTGCTTTTCTCACAATAACCTAATGAGGCAGTGTGGAACAGTTTAAAAGGTAGAGGATTGAGAGTCAGAGGATATCAATTTGATTACTGGTTTTGACACTTATTATTTTCTGTGTGGCCCTTTCTGGGCCTTATTCTTATGTGTAAAGTAAGGTTGAGCCAGATGACCTCCAAGAGCTCTTCCAGCTCTAAACTTAGATCCTAAAGCAATAGAGATTATTAATCCCATTTAACGGGTGAAAAATAGATTCAGAGACATAAAGTGATTTAACAGAATCGAATGAAGTGAATTAACAGAATAGAGGTAGCAGGTACCTTAGAAGCCATCTGAAAAGTGGTCATCCAACTCTTGTCTGAAGAACTCTTCTGATGGGGAATCCTGCTACTTTCCTGAGGCACCTGATTCCACTTTGGGATAACTTTTAACTGTTTTTCTTTTACAGCGTTTACCCCTTTCTTTAGTTGTGCATATCTGGTCAAGCAGAATAAGTCTAATCCCATGATAGCCATCCCCACCCATTTCCTCTAAAGTTTTATTTTCTCTAGGCTGGACATCCTTTAATATCCTCAGATGACTGTCATATGGCGTGATCTTCAGGCCCTTCACCATGTAGATTGCTGTCCTTTGGACTCTGGCTTATTAATTAATCCTAAAATACAGCATTGTAAATGTGTCCTGAGGATACATATAGCCTGAGTGAGGCTATAATTTTCTTAGTTCTGGAGTTTGGGACACTTTGCTTCTCAATACAGTTTAAAAATCAAATTAGCTTTTTTTTGGCTGCCATGCTATTGATTTTGCAGCCCACTAAAAATACTCAGATCATCGCCTTGCACTGGTGAAACTGAGTTTTAAAACCATTTAATTTTCTGGTCACAGAAGTTTTTAAAGACTTTTAAATCATAGGTGGATTACAATCAGTGTCAATGCAGGGAATTGATGAAATCACACATCTTTAAAGTAAGAGGTAGTTGGCTGAAGGATTGGAGGAAGGAGAGATTAGACATTTAGGAGGTTATGACAACAATATACAGATAATGTAGTAGCTAGACTAGATTTGTAGGAGTGAGACTGTCAAACATAAAGAAACATGACTCCGAGAAACATTTTGAAGAATCAATAGGACTTGATTTTGATTAGACATAGTAGGAGAGTGATTGCTGTGAGGTTACAACCCAGGAAGTAGGAAATGATGGTGCTTTTTACAAAAGCAGAGAACTTAGTTTGGCATTTAATGCTTTTCACAGCTTGTCTCCTTCCTACTATTCTTGTCTTCTGACACGAATCCCTTGTACACACTCTGTGATCCAGCTATACGGGCCTACTTTGCAATGTTTTACATCTCTAGTCTCCATGCCTTTGCATTGGCTGTCCCCCTTATCTGGAATGCTCCCCTGCTTCATCTCTACATCCCGACTTCGCTCAAAATTCAGCTCAAATGTTATCTAATACAGGAGGTCTTTCTCAGTCTCTACTTGAGCCTTCCCTTTTAAGGTTATCTTTCATCTGCTGTATAGAATCTTTCTGTGTATGCCTATTTTATGTACACATGTTCTTTACCCAAGAGCAGGGACTGACTGCTTTTGTTTTTCTTTGTATGCCCAGTGTTTATCACAATGCTAGGACATAGTTAGGCCTTAATAAATGCTTGTTGACTGGCTGAAGAGGTCATCTCCTCTGGATGTCTGTTCTCTTCTTTCCCATTTTCAGTCTCTCCTTAACCCATTTCCTCATTCATAAAAACACATTCACTTGCCCTGCCATTCCCTCAAGCTATTGGCCTACAATCTCCTCCCTTTCAAAATTGTAGGGTGGAAAGAGTACTGAATTTGGAGTCGGAGAATTTGAGTTTACATTCCAGCTCTACCACTTATTACTTGTATAACCTCCCTGGACTCCAGTGTCTTAATCTTTAAAATGAGGGGACTGAAATAGATGACCTCTAGCTAACCTTGCAGTTCTAAATTTTTGATCCTAGAAAGAGTTGCCCTATAATTTTCATTTTTTAACCTTTCCAATCCTTTCTAAATTGCCTTCTCAAATTATCAGAGGATTGTTCTTTTTCTCTATTTGCACTCTGCTTATTTCTAGTGCCTACAGTATACTCTTCCACACTCTTTCCCTATCAAACATTGTTCGATACTGCTGTAACCCCTTCAACTCTGACTTTAAACTTCACCAGCTTATGGATGTAGTTGGAAATTCCACTTTCTGACCTCTCTAAATGTTTACCTCTCTAAGCCTGTTCTGGACTGGAAGGAATCTCAGAGAACCTCTCACCGAACCGTGTCATTTTATAGGTGAAAAAATTGAGGCCCAGGGAAGTTGAGTGTCTTTGGTCACAGAGATAGGATTTGAACCCAAGTCCTCTTACTCCAGAGGGTTTTTTCTACTAAATCACTATCTGTGCTATACACTGGAGATATAAAACAAAAACCAAATTCTTTTCAAGGATATTACATTCTAGTAGGGAAAAACTAGAGAAATCAATTTAATTAAGAGGAAGAAAACAGTAACAGTTGAGGGGATCAGAAAAGGCCTTTGTGGAGGGCATGAGTTGAGTCTTAAAGGAAGCTTGGGATGCTAAGAGGGAAGGGGTGCATTCTAGATATGAGAGACCACCTGTCCAAAGGTTCTGGGGTAGGGGGGTGGCAAGTAGGCCAGTTTGTACAAATATACAAATGTATAAAGATAAAATTAGACAAAAAATGCAAGTAGACAGTTTAATTGCCTGAAATTTGAGCTTTAGGACTACTGCTTTGGCAGTTGTATGCTATTTCATTCAATAGACCAGGCTAAAGAGAAGTAGTGGCTGTGTGAGAAAGAAAAGAGGGTGCAAACAAGAGAAGTAGAATCAACAAGATTGCTGACTGAGGATGTGGGGAGAAAAGACTACGTCAATGAAGAAGCTGGTGCCTTTGACAGAGAAGGGAAGTTTAGGGGGAAATGCTATGGATTCTGTTAGGGACATATTGAAACATTTGTGAGAACATCAAGGTTGGAAATAACCCCCTAGTAATGTAGAAAAGAAATTCATGAGAAAGAAGAACTGCATACATAGAGTGGAATGCTGCCTCTGTAGCAATTATCATTGAAACACATGGGAGCTGATGAGGTCCCCAAAGAAAAGTGTAAAAAGAGTAGCAGTCCTAGCAGAACTTTGAGAGAAGGGGACACTCAAAGTTAGTGGTCAGAAAGCATGATGAGGACCTAGAAAAGGAGATAAAGGAACAATCAGATAGTAGAACCAAGGGAAAAATGTTCACAGAAGACACTGTTGAAGTAGAAAAGGAAGATGGTCAAGACACTCCATTTGCAAGATTGATTTGCTTCCTGGACTTCAACCTGGTTCCTATTCAGGTCTGAAGTTTTAAGGTTTTACTGCCTTAACTTGTTTACTTATTTAGCATTGTTCTTTCACCCAGCTTACATGCTGCCTTGAATATTTTTTAAGCTCCATGTTGGGATATTAGCACTGAGAAGTCTACAACCATGGGAGAGCTTCTTAAGTCAATGATCAGTGATACAATGGAAAGAACAATTAATGTAGAGTCAGAAGACCTAGAGTCAAATCCTCGCTCAGTTACTTAGTTTATGACTTTGAGTAAGTCACTTATCCTCTCTGGGCCTGTTTTTCTAGCTTTTCACAAAATGAAAGAAAGCCCCTTTCCAGCTCAAAATTCCACTGTACTCTGATAGATGGTTCCCTCCTCTCCCCCCAAATATAGACAGGTCTTAGTCCACAAATGACATACATGCAAATGTATCCCTTCCACCCTGTGGAAACAACTACTTTAATCTCCAATTTCTCTGGGAAGTTAGTTAAGTACCAAGGTTAAATCCCACCCTCACCCCTAGTTTGAATAAATTCTTTGTCTCTTTTGTTTTAGCCTTCAGTATACATCAGAATAAAGAACCGAGCCCAAGGTGAATACCTAACAGTCACTGGAAATCTAGCTGATTTGAGGACAATGTCAGTATGTATTTCTCCTTATAATGGAAAAAATACCCAAATGTGGTACTACTGTCGAGGACTCTTTAAATCTAAGGTAAATGGTTTTGAAAACAGATACTTTAATCCTATTTAATCTTATTGAATTAATTAGTTTACTTAATCCGAAGTATGTAACAGGTACTTAATACTATTCCTTTTTAAGGCAATATTTTATTTAAATTAATGTATACTCTATGTATAATATATAGTATATGTAAGCAGCTAGGTGGCACAGTGTCTAGATAGAGTTTTAGGCCTGGAGTCAGGAAGACTCATCTTCCTAAGTTCAAATCTGGCCTCAGACACTGAGTGACCCTGGGCAAGTCACTTAACTCTGTTTGCTTCAGTTTCCTCATCTGTAAAATGAGCTAGAGAAGGAAATGGCAAACCACTTCAGTATCTTTACCAAGAAAACTCCAAAAGGGAGTCATGAAGAGTTGGAAATGACTAGAACAATTGAACCCTATATAGTAAATGTAATGTCATTACAGAGTAAGATCTAATCTTGAGCAGCACAGTATGTATGCCTAAAAAATAAAAACATTCCTAGTCTTGATAAAAGCAGCTTCTGAAGCATGCTTCCGTTGAAAGTAAAATGAAAGACACTGATAACTGAATAATTTTGTTGCCATCCAACTCACTGTCCTGCAGCTCTCTTGTATTTGAGATCCAAAGGCATAAATACAAATGATGCTGCTACATGTAACTGGATCATTAAACAAGTAGCACTTACAGCAGCAGTTATAAAAATGTTGCAGAATTCTAAATGTCTTCACATATCATGACAGGCATTTCTTTCCTAAAAGATGGTGGCAAGACATTTGCACAAGCAAGAGAGACTTTGCCTCTTTCTTTTTATCCTACTCTATCTTCAATGGCATATGAAAAAAATTGTGTCTATTTCAAAGAAAAATTCTAGATAGCAAAAGCTATGTTCACCTACCAATTCCCTTTCTAAAACTGAATTTTTTATCTAGTTCACATTGTAAGGGGGACCGTAAGTTCATAAAAAATGTATCTGTGGGTATTTTTGAATTTTTTTCTTTTCTCCAAGTTTTCTTTCAGCATGTTTATAAACTGAAAACAGCCTCTCTGTTGGTCAGGTTACCCTCACATAACCTCTATATTAAGTGAAATAAAGTAAAAGAGCCATTCTGTATGGAACTCACCCTTTTCGTTCCACTTGCCATCACAGTTTTAACTTTGAAATATTTTAGGCAAATGATACATGTCTTGATGTTATTGGTGGAAAAGATGTACCTGGAGCTAAAGTAGCTGTATGGAATGAACATGGGAAGCTTAGGCAAAAGTGGAAGATGAACAAAGATGGAACCATCAGTTCTTACCTTAATGACCAGCTTGTCCTTGACATTAAAGGTATGAATTTACAGGGTCTCAAATTCGATCTTGTAATTGCACATTTTAGAGTCTTTTTATCCAAACATTAATCTAGGTCAAAGCAACCCCAATATATATTTTTGAGAATGTTACTTTCACATTTTTAAAAAAGGTCTCTATATGGGCACAAATTCAAGATAAATTAACTGGACTGCATAGATGATGGAAGAAGTGGAGAGGAGAGAATTTAAGAGGACTTGTGATCCATAGCGTATTTTTAATTTTTTTTATATTATTTAATTTTTATTTCCTACATGGCCCATCAAATTCCTATGCCCCATAAGCCATATTTTACTCTTGTTTTGAAAAAAAGAAACATCTCTCCACTTTCTCAAACCAACAGAAGTTGTTCCTGCCTTATAATTCCTTTTGACTATGAATAATTTCTTTTGTATAATTATACTTGTAAGTATGGAAAGCGCTGAGCTTCACTTTTCTCATTTCTAAAAGGAGGAGATTAGATTACATGACTTCTAAGGCTCCTTCCAGCTCTGTAAGCTCATTTAAGTCTCACAACAACCCTGTGATATGGGGACTATTCTCATTTACTTTTTAATTCTCATTATAATCCCTCATTTTGAGGGAACTGAGGCTGAGAGGTTTGAATAACCTGCTCAGGGTTACATAGCTAGTTAAATGAGAAAGGTTTTCAATTTAGGTCTTCCCAAATCCTGTCACAGTGCTTATTTCCTTGATCACACCTGCCAATTAAAGACCTGGGTTGAATTTCTACCTCTAATAGCATTGACTACATGGCTCTAATTTCTCAGTGCCTTAAGTTAAGACAAGGATTTTCCAAACCAAGAGTTCCCCTATTCTGATGAAATCACAGGTCCACATCCCTTTCCCCTTCATTTCACCCCTCCTTTCCCTTTCCCCATCCTAAATAGACTTTGTTAGAGTATCTGACATTGAAACACAATATTCTCAGGGAAACATACTGTTGGTTTTATGCTAACCAATACATTAAGAACCAGTCCTCCTGCTCTTTTTGTTTTTAAACTTGATTGAAATTGAGTTCACATTTACCGTACATTAATATAGAATCTATCTGTTTCAGATTGAACTCGATCCATGAACTCAATCTGTTTCAGAGCACTTTGTAAATTACAGTTACATCCAGAGTTTAACTACTTTGTTTTTCCCTATTTTTAGGAGGAAGTTATTGTGATAAGACCCATATAATAATAAACCAGCCTCTGGAGGGGAAACCTACACAGCAATGGGACATTGAAATATTGTGAATAAAATCACCGTCATCACTAAAAGGAGCTGAGGAAGGTGGAACTGTTTCCCTCATTGTCTTAAGCATGTGAAAAAGGAAGCTACTGAAGTCACAGGCCACTGAAACATAAGCAGATCATGAACTTGTTTTCACGTTCCTTTAATCTGTTTATGGACATGGATTCCTAAACCATTGCGTTTTACCATAGAGAGGCTGGGCGGAGTTAAAACATTTTTGCCACTTTCTACATAAACCTGTAGAAGCTTTCTATCACTAAGATGATAGATTACTTGGATTCCTGTGATATACCCTCTTCTTTTTAAGCTCATCTTTCCTTTTTGTGATGATGTTTCTTGATGGGGGATGCTGTTTGGGGATACAGTGTATACTGTGCATCGCTCTATACCATTTTTTCCTAGAAAGCTATCCAGTGCAAATAAGCAAAAATTCCTTCAAGCTTTGGCTAGCCAGGCTCAAATTTGTGTTGTTTCTATAAAGGTTAGTGTTGTCAAAGAGTTGTCATTCCACTTACGCTATTAATAACTACAACAGGGTGACTACATAGACTAAATAGTATATGATTGTGTGTGTGTGTGTGTGTGTGTGTGTGTGTGTGTGTGTGTGTGTGTGTGTGCGCGCGCGTGCGTATATTTCTATATCATGGGGAACTATACAGGTCAAGTTATATTTTTGTCAGAATCAGAGCCCGTAAGAACTGAGGAGATTTCAGAGGTTATCTGAAAAGCAGTTTAAGCCCATCTTCTAAAGCTTTACCTTTTTTGATACCTGAAGCACTATACTAAAAGAAGAACCCTAAACTCTTCCAGGATTGAAAGCACAACTCTGTATGTGATAGTTTCTGTTGTTGAACAGCATGATGCTATTCCTTTTAAAGAATGGATTCCTTCTATTTTTGAAAAAGCACAGATGACAAGAATGAAGCCCTTTGTATAGAAAAGACAATGCAATTTAAGTACTATGGAAAAAAGGCAGTATGGATTTAACTAGTATTTACTGATCCCAGATGTATTAAATTCAGGCTCAATTTTGTTTTGAATTTAGTGTTCTCTATTTTTACTTTGCATAGTATTTAAGTAACTCCCTTCTGAATAAGATAAGCCAAATTATCATTCTTTCTACTTGAAATGCTACAAAGCTTCAATGCTAGTTTGAAATGAAAGCACAAAGTTGTGTTTTAGGCCTGGACCATAACAGTTTTTTTCCCCTAAAATATAGGTTGAGCAGATTTCTTTAAATGACAGCCTCCTTAGGTTCCCTCTACCCCCTCATTCTTCTATAAAACATTAAGTAACCAAACAGGCAGTCAGCAAAATCAGATAGGAAATAATAATCTTTGATATACTTGAGATAATTATTTCCACCTTTTCACTGTCCTAGTGAATGATTAAATTATTTTTTTCACCTGACTTTAGATAATTTATTCTGGGCTGGATTTAAAAATGCATTGAAATACCCCAAATGTCTTGCCATAAAACATATGAAAACACCTTTTCTATTTTTATATACAGACTCAAATAAAATTTCAGTGAATTTTTCAAATATCAGCCTCTTTGCACTTTAGAATGTAAATTAACACTAAATAAATTAAATTCAGACCTAGATCTGCTGCTCTGAATTTTTTATAGTAACCTGATCTTTCCATGTAAATATTTAAGATTTACTATTTGTTTGGTATTTAAAAGTTAAAGAGACAGGATTTTTTTTCCTTTTGTCGTCTTGGCTCCTTTCAAGAAGCATCTGTAAAAATTCCAACGGACCCACTGATGTGAATGCATCTCATTGCTGTGCCAGTGTTATTTAATGGAACTGTATTTAACAGGAGTAACTGAAGGCTTTAAAAATGTTAATGGAAGCCTTCCTTCTGTACACATAGAAGAAACCTATCTATTTTTACTGTAAAAACTAGATTTAAAAAAAATTTCTTCTAAATTATTTTAAGGAATTTCTTTTTTAGACCAACAAGTTTGGGTAATCTTTTAAAAAGTTACTATATCCAAAGAACAAGGCCAGATACCACATTTAAACTGAAAAAGCAATCAGAGTTGTGCTTTTTTTTTTTTTACAACACTGGATTAAATAAAATAAACTTGTCATACACAGATGTGGTTTCTTCCCTTTTTAAATGCCCCTTTCTGAAAATAAAGGTGGCCAAATAACGTAGTACATAATCATACAAGTACTGTTCAGGGGCTACATCTGGCCACCTGAATCTTATATTGAGCAAAGCTGGGGCAGGTACTGTTTTTCTCCCACTAGCTAATACAGCCTTATCCATTTTATTCCTGCAGAACACCTTCAGAACTGATTTTGGGAGTAGTTTAAAATGAACCATCTTAAATGGACCTTTTTCCTAAAACAGGCTGAAGATTTGACTGGAAGATAAGACAGACAGTAAGACAATTTTCCCTGTGGCCTAAGCAAAGATAGCAAATGATTCTTTATTAAGTAAGTGGAAAAATTGTTTTACCCTTTTATAGGAAGCGCTGACTTGACAAAGGCACTAGATTGCTTCCACTAGGCATTCAGTCCAGAGTGCTAACACCAGGTTTTCCTTCTCTGCATCTGTATTAAGTTTCAGTGCCTTAACAGAAATAATTTCAGAACTCCAAAGTTGCTTCAGGGCATCCATATGAGATAAAGGAAAACGAAGTCCAAGAGCCTGAAAGGAGGGGAAACAAACTCTTTTAGTTCAACATTTCCCAAACTGTGTTCCAGAAAACCTTGGTGCTTTATGAAGAAATTTCATTCCTATAGTGAGATATCTAGGAGGGTTCTATATCCATCAGTGTCCTTTAGAGAAAGGTAGGACAACTTTTAGAGATACTGATTGTCCCTGCTAGAAGCCATGAAAATAGAGACAAAAAAACCACACAGATAAAAATAATAAGCATGAATGATAAATAAAGGCCATTAAATGTTTCCCTCATGACTTGGTAAGTATAATACTATGTCTACTATACTGATTGTCAAAATTGCCAACAACTCCCATGACCAAATATAACAAATTCTCATTACTTCATTGTCTCTTCCCTCATCATCCTGCTCCTAGTCCTCCCCTCATGAGCCTCCCAAGAGTTAAACCACTGTAAAGCTTTAAGTGGTCTAAAATAGAGAATTTATATATTGATTCACAGTAGGGGAAGCATTATGGTAAAAGGGAAAGGAAATTAGATTTCCTCATTTTTATGATAAAAATGCTTTTGCAGTGACCTTCTTGCATTTTTCATTTGTTCCATATTATTTCATATCTTATACAAACAGCTAAATTTTGAATCAATCTTAGGATAGCATCAAACTTTAAATGAAAAAGAATCACATTTCAATCAAACTCTCATGGAAGCAACTAATTTGGCCATTAAGCACTCATTAAAACATACTGATAGAACCAAAAATGGTAAGCACCATGAGCTCTTTAAAATGGGTGCTTTGGCCTAGACCAAGGGGAGATCATTTGTTCCTGTAAGTACACCACAAGGTGCAGGGACGGACCCTGTATGTTGGAGAAAAAGTAAAGGACTGTGTGCATAGCCCATAAGTGGTGGGTAGTCCTCTTTCTTGTCCTATACTTTGCCCCTGAAGAAGTGAGGTAGGAGTTAGAGCTTAAGCTAAGAGGAAAGAGGCCCTCTGGTGAGAGGACTTCTTAATTATGCTCTGTCACTTCTTTGAGCATCAGCTTCCTTCTCCATAAAATGAGAGGGTTGAACTAGAAGACCTCTTAAGTCCTTTCTAGCGCTAAGTCTATGACCCGCTAAATTGGGAGAACGAATAGCTCTTTCCAGATAGCTTAGTGTTGTTAAGATTTTCTAAAAATACAGTTCTGGGAAGGAATGGTGTAAAGAAAGCTGTGCTACTGCCCATTGACCAATAATAAATAAAGCTATCCTCAAAGCAAAAATAACTTCATACACTACTACTTTTACCAACCAAACTCAAAAAAATTATATTCATTCAGTTTAGTAGAAACAAACCTTGGCCATTTCATTCTCATTTCCAAACATCATGTGTGTCTCCCGCTTATTTCTCAAAGAATGATAGATGTAAACCATTTGTTCTTGAGTCTTGCCCTTAAAAAGAGAGAAAAGTCACTAGCTACGAAATCTGCAGGGTTAAAGTAGCATTATGAGCTTTTAAAAGTTTTGAAAACTACTGTTTCTGACAGATGGATTTCTACATACTCTAAAGCTTCTCTAATTTGGCAGAAAGAGAATATCTCATTTAATGAAAAGTCCAAAACTGTAACTAAAGAATGCTTCAAGGGATCTGTGATCTCATTCTGGGTTTATTCTCCCAAAGGCATATACACCTCAAACATACATACTTCTTCATCCTATGTGACTGTGGTTCATATCCTCCCCAAATCCTCCAGAAGTCTCTATGTTTATGTGGGCAATTGAACACATGGGTTTTTCCATTACTTATCTGTCATTTTTTCTATCAAATCAGATCATTTAGCTAGGTGGGTAAGAGACACTTATACACGGAAAGCTAAGTTACAAGATGTAAATAAACAGGAGTTCAGCTGAGGGAAAGGACAATTTGGCTAGAAGTAGAAGATTTCATGATTAAGAAGGATTTTCTTATGTGAATCTTAAGTATTTAGAGAGACAAAAAGAAATGGGGAAAACATCAACATGGATGATGCAAAGTATGAGCAAAGTCATAGTAAGCCAGCAAAAGAATTTCTGTAGATGATTAGAAAAACACTAGAGCCAGCATGTAGAAGGTGCAAGCAAAGTTGAATTTAGGCAAGGTCTTAGAGTTGGAAGGGATGGACTTATTTTTATAAGAATTCTCATAGATGTTTGTTAAGGCGAGTGAAATATTTAGTGATGAAACCCAAGAAGCTAAATACTTTCTTTTGAGTAGCTTCAGGAGTGGATACTACAAGTTTACAAGTCTTCTGAATGGATTAGTTTGCATGTTTTAAAATACTGGTCCACTTATTAAGTAGGATTATGCAGGAGGTACTTTACCTTCTCTAACAGCAAGAATTTCCAGATTCCACAGGTGCTCAGAGATTTGGAAAAGCCCTCAGATCGAACCAAAGAATCTTCTTTATAACATAACCTAGGCTTCTCTTCTAGTAAGAGGAATAGCAATACCTCTTAAGGCAGCCCATTCCACTCTAGAACTAACAAGTTTTTCTTACATGGAATCTAATTCTACCTGTATGCAACTCCACCTGATTTGTTCCAAGTTGTCTTCTCCACAAAGAAAACTGATTAACATATAACTTTATGACCAAGATTTTTTTAAAAATCCAATAATGGGGTGGTAAACAGCTTGTTAAGGTATCCTAACTCCTGGCTGTGAGTAGCAAAATAGCATCTGCAAAGCATTTCCTTGGCATAAAAATAGATGATAGTTTTATTAGTTTTACTTAGCATTGTAAATCATATGATAAAACTTAATTATTGTTCTTTCAGGAGCTGTCCTGAGTTCCAAGGACCCTCTTAAGTAGTCAATCAGACCAGACAAGGGGGTTAATAACTCCACTCCTCATTGTGCTGCTCTGTGGTATAGTGGTTAGGAAGTTTCTTTTCAAAGAGCGTTAAGATTACACCAAGACCAAGTCTCTGCATGTGTCCAAAGGCAATGGGGAGGCAAGAGAAGATTCTTGCACACGAGAGCTTTGTAAAAAGCTGTTTAGTAAAAATTAACCCAGGGGCAGCTAGGTGGTGTAGTGGATAGAGCACCGGCCCTGGAGTCAGGAGGACCTGAGTTCAAATGTGGCCTCAGACACACAACATTCACCAGCTGTATGACTCTGGGCAAGTCACTTAACCCCAACTGCCTCACCAAAAAAAAAAATTATGAAATGAAGAAAAGGACTAAGAAGGAGAAAGACCCATCGGTGGCCAGTAAAGTACTTCTACTATGAGACAGATGGAGGGGTGGCAGTGTGGGCAAGGGAGGATGGATTTGAAAGACAAACTAGCTGAATATGACAGGAAAAAAGAACGGGAAAATAAGAGTGTAGGATGCAGTCTACACAGACCGTATATTCTTCTGTGACTTCTGCCTAACTCTTCCCATCAATCTTCCCATGAGATTCGCAGGGGAGAAACAGGCAATGTTTAATATATAGTTCTTTAAGTTTGCAAGGCCCTTTACAGATTAGATGTTATCATATTATAAAGATGAGGGAACTGAGGCAAACAACTTGCCCAGGGTCACACTAGTGTGACTAGTGTCTGAGGAAGGATTTGAACTCAGGTCTTCTGACTCCAAGTTTGGCACTCTTAAATACTAAGCCACCTAGCTGCAAATAAATAATGATATATTTTGAGTGTAGGTGATTGAGTCACAGTAGGGAAGTGTGAAGAGGCAGCCAAAATGAAGACTGGTTTTAAAGTATATTAAGTCTTAACTGCTAAGAGCTGAAATTTTTGGCTTTGCTACTTATTACTTGTTTAGGCAAGTCATTTAACCTCTCTTGGCTTCAGTTTCCTCACCTGTAAAGTTAGAAGGCTGAATCAGATAATCTGCAAGGTCTTATTCAGCTCTAAATATATGATCCTATGGAACCATGGGCATATTGATTGGTACAAAGATATCTGAGAGTCATGTGCACCTGGATATGTTGGACAGTTTGAATGCTGAATCTACCTCTTGCTACCAATATGATTTGGAGTCTGTCATCTATAAAATGAAGGGATTACATTTTATTATCTTTTAAGCTCCTGTTATGGTTCCAAATTCTATTGCCATCAAGACCGCCAAGACCCCTTAAGCAGAGGATCTAAGGAGACACTAACACAGAGCTGTGGATAGCTCAGGACTATCCAATTATAATTTCCTAAAAATACGAGACTAATTCCTGCTGTGATGCTTTAGAGTAAGGGCCTTAGGATAGTAAGGGCACAATACAGTTTAAAAACGGGGTGGGGGGAAAAAGAGGAGGCATAGTATAAACGATGATTCATTGATACTCACAGATGTATCTTTGTCTGCCTCCACTGTCATAACGATGTAGTCTTTAAATTGCAGTCTTACTCTACTATTTAATTTTGGGAACTTTCCACCTACAATAAAACCCCATCAAAAGAAAAGTATTAATCAGGAAGAGAAATAAAATGGTTCAGATTCGATCTGGTTAAGATGCAAACAAAATAAATGCCCAAGTGTTCTCTCCAACTTTTGTTTCAGCAGATCTTGACTATTTCCTCAATTGTTCCCCTATTCTAATTCAAATAAGTCAGATACTAACCTAGTATTTCCCTAAATTAGCCTTATCCCAATATACAAGATGTTGGGGTGCTGTGGGAGAAAGTATGATTAAACAATTATGGTGTAACTGTTCTTAACTATTTTTGTCATGGGACCCTTTGGCAGACTGGTGATGTCCATGGCTCAGTAATGTTTTTAGATGCATTAAATACACCAATTACAATGAAATAGTTATAAATTAAAAACAACAACAACAAAAAACCAGGTTCATGGTTCCCAGATTAAGAACTTCTGGCCTAATGGGAATGTCTTATTCATTCATAAGTGACGTGCAATGGAGGACAACAGTAGGTACTCAAAGGTTCTTGTGAGTTGAATGAATGAATATACCAAAGTCTTGTGAAAGCAAAAACATACTGGCTCACAGAAGAGATCAGAAAATTTTCAAAACACAAAAACTCCAAAAATAAAACCACCCCAGAGCAAAATAACTAAACAAAAAACCCTGTGAATCTCCTATGAAAAATTCTAGGCTATTCGCTAAGTTCATGACAATTCCAGCTTAGTCACTGACTTCACTATTTCAATGCATCTATGAAGTACTCCCTTTAAGAATGCAGAGTACAATCTATACAGACCCTTTGCTCCCATGTGACTTCTGCTTAAGTCTTCCCATCAGTCACCCATGAGATTCTTTGGGGAAAAAGGGGTAACGTTCACCCAATGTGTTGATGTAGTAGGGATCTTTGTCTATCCATTACATCATTGTTGGTAACACACCTATTTGTTCCTACTACAGACCTCTCAATTGACTGTCAGGACAATGCTTAAAATACTGTCTGATAATGTTTGAGACACTTTAGAATAATGGTTATCAAAGGTTGTTCCTAAAACTGTAACAGGACAAAAAAATGACAAAATACACTAATACTATACCTAGGTCCATGGTGATCCTATATTCTTTCTTGCCCTTATGTTAACTACATAGGTCTAAGTAGTTCCATTCGAGTCACAATAAAGCATCAAGACAATCTAACCAAGTTGGGTACCAAACAGTAAACAGTAAATTTCACCTGGGGTGGAAAAATTGGAACCATCTCCCAAATAATATGGTGGCAATCTGCTCCTAATGAAATCCTTCTTCATTTCAGATGATCTCAGGTCTCTAGTACCCTCCAACCGGTCTGCAAGAGTCCTCAGGAAGCCACTTAATCTTTTTGTTGCAACACTTATGTCATCTACCTGCTAGAAAACAAAACAAAACAAAACCAACTTTGTCATGATTCCAAACAAGAAGAATTTCTTGCATTCAGTAGCATACACTTAAAGACAAAACTCCAAGCATGTCTACCGAGTTGTTATTCATTCATTTCAGTTTATGTTCAACTCTCCGTAACCCCATTTGGCATTTTCTTGACACAGATACTAGAATGGTTTGCCATTTCCTTCTCCAACTCATTTTACAGATGAGAAAACTGAGGCAAAAAGGGTTAAGTGACTTGCCCAAAGTCACACAGCTAGTAAGTGTCTGAGGCCAGATTTGAATTTTTGAAGATGAGTCTTCCTGACTCTAGGCCTGCTGTTCTATCCATTTCACCACCTACGTACCCAGTAGGTATTATAAAAGCCCCCAAAACTTATGAACAGGAAGGGGACAGTCTCTAAGGTTGACTTTGACTACTTGTATCCCTTTTTATTACAAGGGAGAAATTTAAGCGGGAGAAAGGATCATTCTTTTCATTCTTTTAGGAAAGCTTGACAGGTACTCACCAAGGTTTTTTAAAAATATTTTTCCCAATTACATGTAAAAATTAACATTTTTAAAAATTTTGAGTTCCAAATTCTTTTCTTTCCTTCCTCCCCTATCCCCTCATTGAGAAGGCAAGCAATTCGATATAGGTTATGGCTCCTTGCTCAGGCTACAGCTCTCCTTGTCATATCTTTTTTTTTTTTTTGGTGAGGCAATTGGGATTCAGTGACTTGCCTAGAGTCACACAGCTAGTGAGTATTATGTGTCTTGAGGCTGGATTTCAACTCAGGTCCACCTGATTCCAGGGCCAGTGCCCACTGACTCCACTGTGCCACCTAGCTGCCCCATCCTCATATCTTAATCACTGTCCCTGGTTCTCTGACTCACATAACTCATAAATATCCTATAATACTACATACTACCTTGGTCAAAAGGATAAGAAGAGGCCTGGTCACTCAGGAGACGTCTGATGGGAAAGTATCTGAGGTATTCCAGAAAGAAACCCTGTGCCATTGTTGCTGCAACCTTCTGTTCTGACATTGACAGATAATGAGTCTGCTGATTTTCTTCCCATCTCTACCCCGCTGAGTTTCTTTACCATAAGTAGTTGCCGTGGTATGCCAGTCCGAAATTTTACTTCTTTCTTTGCAGTATCAAAGAGAAGCCCAGGAATCACATCCAGAAGAAAGTCTCCCCATGAACTGAAGCACACAAAAGGAAAAAAAAGTTACATATCTACATGCATACACAAATGGGCAAAGGTCCTTTGTAGTTCCCCTCTTTGAGATAATTCACAGACTAGAAGCACAATCAATTTCCAAATGTGTGGTCCAGATCATGGAAAAGAAGTGAAGCTCTAGTTTTACATGTGTGTGTAGATATATGTATGTGCGTGTATATATGTGCATATGTGTATGTATGCACTAATGTCCTAGTGAAAGGCTATGCCAACAGAACCCAGTCTCTGGCAAGTCTAGATAGAAAAGTTTCAAAAGTAAGATGGAACATCTGGAAAGGCTCGTTACCATACTGATTTTGGTCAATTTTAGCCATAGTCACTCTTGAAGACCATTTAATACAGAAGACTAACAGATAAAAATCACAGATCCTTTTAGTATGGAAATATGTGTGTAAACACATCCATATATATATGATATTAATTACAAGGATTTAAAGTTTCTTGGACTATATACACTGTGAATTCAATATGGCCTTATAATATGTGCCTATGAATGAAAATACACTACCAACCATGTTTTCTCTCACCCAAGAAAACTTCAATCCTCATAACTACTACCCACAATCCCTGACCCCTGAATAAGTTCAAAGAAGGAAGCTGAAAAGTACTGGTACATTTTCATAAGCCTACTTATGCTGCTACTGGAGAAATGAATCATATCCTTCCATGAAACAGGAAATTCATGAGAACAAAGAAAAATCAAACAAGCCTCAAAACACAACCCAATTTTCATAACGATTTCCTAGGAAACGGCAGAATCCAGCACATGCTCCCAATTACATTTTATGATACTAATAGCATAGAATCTGAGAAAAAAAAGCCAAAACATAATGCTAAAAGAAAAAATTTGATACAAACTTATGAGTGATGCTGCATTAGGCAAACTAATACTTTTAAAACACCAAGACTGCTAGTCCATGTAGCTAATGTTAGCCGTAAAAACTGTCTTGTGTTAATCAGAAAAAGTTTTTTAAAAAACACAATAAGGTATCTTAGTTAAATCTTTTTTTTAACTGCCTGTGTACAGACTCAGTCTATTTTACAACACTGAGACACAGTATTAAATTCTTGGCAAACCAACCCAAACCAAGTTCTCAGCAACAGAATTCCAATCCTTTGTTCTCCTGTTCCTCTGTCTAATTTCCCTCTTTGGGATAATTCACAGACAAGGGGCATAGTCCCCTAAAGTTTGGTCTAGAGCTTGAAAAGGAAGCAAAACTCAAATAAGCACATTTCATGTTTAACAATCTGTTGTGGGAAAAGGTAAAAGCTACTAGTCTGAATAAACTGAATAATCTGTAGGTTTCAATTATCCATGCTTTCCTCTACCCCTAATTAGCACGGAGAATTTAGAATTCCTCTGTAGTCAGATTAAGAAACAATACTTTGGCAGCAAGAAAGCTTGACAGGAGGCTAGTCAGAAGACCCGAGTTCAAATCTAGCCTTAGATACTAGCTCTGTGACTCTGGGCAAGTAATTTAACCTTACTCAGATTCAATCTCCTTCTCTGTAAAACAGGAATAATGTTGTTTAGTCTTTCAGTTGGTGTCTGACTCTTCATGCCAATATAGTCTAGTCTATGGGGTTTTCTTGGTAAGGTTGTTGGAGTGGTTTGCCATTTTACACAGCTAGTGTCTGAGGCTGGATTTGAATTCAGGTCTTCTTGACTCCAGTCCCAGTGTTCTATCCACTGAGCATCTAGTTGCCAATGGGAATAATAATAACAATAATACTTACCTATTGTTGCAGTTGTAGTGACGATCAAATGAGATAGTATATGTGAAGTGCTTGGTAAAAAAGTGTTGCTTAAATGTTAGATATAATAATTATTATTACTGTTACTCCTTAGTGGGTCATTTTTCTTTAAGAAATATTTTTCCTGTGTCACTAGCAGACTTCTGACTGCTTACTACTTAACCAACATAGAAATTTACAGCATGATTTTCCCTCAGTCAAGCAAAATTAACATTTTGTGTTTCACTCCCAGAAAAGCCCATAAAAGATTAAAAAAAAAGTTTTCTCAGGAATAGGAATCGGGACTATTGGACAGTCAACCAAAGGATGAGGGCAGGGACTTGCTTTTGAGTCTTTCTTGTATCCCTAGTTCTTAGCACAGTACCTCACATGTAGACTGATTGATTGGTTTTACTGATACAGGAAACTTCCACAGGAGCGCCCTCTTTCAATATACTTTGGCAGGCTCTTTACAACCTTTCATCTTAGAGAGCTGTCTCAAAAACCCTGAAAGGTTAAGTGACTTTCCCAGGGTCCTACACCATCTCTTTTCTTCATCTTCCCCCAAAATATCCACACACTCCTATCACCTTTTCTGAGCAGCTTAACTTTACATCCACCTCCACATTTCTTACTGTATTTTTCAACATCCAAAACAGGTTCAGGTCTTTTTAGCTACACAAAATATTTTTTGCCTCTCCAGGACTTACCAGCAACAGAGCAGAAAGCAAGTCATTTAATAGCCTTTTTGGCAGAGTACGGCACCGTGCCTGGCATAGAGTAGAAGACTAACAAATATTTATTGACTGACACTGGTTCTGGGAAGTAAGAGTCATAATATACCTTTCCAGAGTCTGTGACTGATACAAATTCTGGAATTTACTCTGAAGAGGATGGAATTAATCCACACACCCCACACCATGGGTGTGAAAATTTATTGTGCTTTATGGGACACAACAGAAGATGAGAAGGAACACTCCAAAATCCATAGGCTTCATACCCATCTGCTACTTTAAGAATGAATACAAGACAGGCAAAATCAGGACCAGTATCAGTCCAAGCCTCAATGTGTCCACACAATTAGACTATAAAATAACACAGTATTTCACACATTTGGAAAGCATAATGCAGACTAACAGAAGGCTTCATTTGTTAGGGACAGAGAGGTGGAGAGTTGTGGGGGGGAGGCCAGGGGGAACCTTTAAATCTGTTTCTTTTACTTCTGACCTAAAAGGGTTCTGACTGAGGAACTAGGAGCAAATGACATTAGCTAACTAAATTTAAAAGATAACTTTCTTAACTTCATTCCTTCCACCTCCACCCCCCACCCCCAACATACACCCACATGCACACACCTACACCTATACCTACACCCACCCCCACCCCCTGCCACACACACAGACTCTGGCAGTGTTATAGACCCTTCTTAGAATTTTTTTTAAATGTATGAAATAAAAAAAATAGGGTTACAAAGGAAATCAATTATGCTGAAATACAGTTATCAATTTATTTTTTCAGTTCATGGACTCCATGTTAAAAAATACTTGTTCTAAGCTGACTGTAGTTTTGAAAACATTGAAAACAATTCTAGCACAGCTAATAATGCTCATGACTGCTTTCTAGCTTTTCCTACAAATATGAGAAATAAAAGCTTTGAAGGAAGAAGAACAGATACAAAAATGACCTCACTAATTGGTCCAGGGACATATTTCTTTTTATTTCCAAAGAATGCAGACTTTGGCACTTAACCACTCAAGCTTGCCTCTTACAATCATTCTTCACACATTCAGTTTCAAAACACTTCTGTTACAAAGTTTAGTTACTCTTACTGTCTGAGCTACCATTATTTTAGATGGAAAAACCACACCTAAAGATAATAAAGAATCTACCCAGGACATGAGAGTTAGCAACCAGCATCTTACTGAAGGTCCTTGACTCCCTATGTGAGACATTAGCCTCTTGTTACCCCCTGTTACCCTTTTTCTTGGAGGTGACCCGTGGCCACGTCAATGAGTCCTTCAAAGTGGGAGGCAGCAAGAAGAGTGGAAGGATATTTACTTATTCTGGTAGGTGCTGATGGTCACATGTGTAGAATGGGCTAGTCCAGGAGGAGTGTCAGCTTGATGGATGGTCCCTCGGGGGAAATATAACAAATCTCCGGGCTAAAATATGGGGGCAGGGGGAAAAAAGAGTATTATAATTAAACATCAACTCTTTCTCCCCAACCCCACTCCCATTTCTACAAAGGCCTTCAGTTTCAGCTCCTAGATACCATTAAACTATTGTGTAATGACCCACAGGGCAACTTGGATGCTGATATTGGCAGTGGTGTCCCCAAATCATCCCATTTGGGTTATTTCACTTCCAAGTTCCCATTCACCAGTTATCAACTTGTATACTGTAATTCCTGGGGGAAGCAGAAGTACCTGGGTTCAAAAAAATCACAAGGTCAGGATAGGGGAGGTTTGGCTAAATGACAGCTCATTCCCCAAAAAAATCTGAGGAATCTGGTGGATTCAAAATTCCATGAGTCATTGTTGTGACACAGCAGTCAAAAGAGCTAATGTGATCTTAGGTGTAATTAAGAGGCAGCTTCTAGAATAGGGGTTCTTAACCTGGAGCACACTGATAGATTTCAAGGGCTCTGTGAACTTGGATGGGAAAAAAAATATTTCTTTGTTTCCCTTTATAATTCTATGTATTTCATTTTATGCCTTTAAAAACATTATTCTGAGAAATAGTCCATAGGCTTTAGCAGGCTGCCAGAGGCATCCAAGACACACAAAAGGTCTAGAAGAACGGAGATGATAGTCTTGGCTTTAGTCTGTCTGATCAGACCAAGTCTGAAGTAGCATGGTCAGTTCTGCACATACACTTTATTTTAGGAAGAACACTGATAAGCTAGAAGAACACCAAAAGAAGGGCAACCAAGATTCCAAAGTACCAAGAAACCATCTCCTATCTGGGAATGTTAGCTTAAAGCTTTAGGTGGCTAATGATAATTGTCTTCAAGTATCTAGGAATTGGCATTGTTCTTTTTGGTCACAGAGGGCAGAACTAGGAAAAACTGGGTGGAAATTGCTAACAGAGATTTTGTTTGGCCTGACAGAAGGAAAAACTTTCTAATGATGAAAGCTCATTAAGAGCTTCCATTCTGGGAGAAATGGGTTCCTCCTCTCTGGAGTCATCAAGCAGACACTAGACAACTGCTTCGGAGAGATATCACAGAGGGGCTTTGAAGTACATGATGGACTAAATGGCTTCTGAACTCCTTTCTATGACTCTGACATGTGTTCACTTTCCTGTTTAATAAGCAGAGTCTTCACATATTTTGCCTGGCCTTGCTTTCCACATAAAAGAGAACACTGTACAAGGAAATATCCCACATGTCTTAACCTGAAATACAGACTCTATATATGAGCCATCAACTCCATTCCTGTGGTTCTGGGCCCTGCCTATTCTTCATCTCTCCCTCCCCATGGTTCCTGGTGGTTCTGAAATATACTTTCCCCCAAATCCCTGTGGTGACCAAAGCATTTTATACAGCAAACTGTTGAAAAAGGAAACTTTTAAATCATGTTTACATTCCTTTTCCTTTATTAAGATTTTATTAATTTATTTTATTGTTGTCTAGTTGTTTTCAGTTGAGTCCAACTCTTTGTGACCCCTTTTGTGGTTTTCCTAGAAAAGATACCAGAGTGGTTTGCCATTTCCTTCTCCAGCTCATTTTACAGATGAAGAAACTGAGGCAAACAGGGTTAAGTGACTTGCCCAGGGTCACAGCTGGTAAGTGTCTGAGGCCAGATCTGACTGCAGGTCTTCCCAACTACAGGCCTGGCGCTCTATCCACTGAGCCACCTATCTGCCCATTAATTCATTAATTATTAGATTTAGGGGCAGCTAGGTGGCGCAGTACATAGAGCACCGGCCCTGAAGTCAGGAGGACCTGAGTTCAAATGTGACCTCAGACCAAAACACTTGACACTTACGAGCTATGTGACCCTGGGCAAGTCACTTAACCCTAATTGCCTAAAAATATAATAATAAAAAATTAAAAAAAATTATTAGATTTAGTTTCCTTAAGCAGGAAATCATTCCCATGAAAGTGTACATTAATATGAAATAGTTACACTGCTTGTTTCTAGTAATTAGCAGTGAGTCTTATTCAGCTCAGGAGTGGATATGGAGATATGGAGACAGCTGGCATCTTAATTACTTCAAGAAAATGAATGCCTTAGGTCAGGGATTTTCAAACTATGTTCTATAAAACCCCTGTGCTCCACAGAACTTTGTTAAGCATATCCTTTGAAAACAAGTGTGGTCACTAGAAGATACGTTTGATATATGCCTGCCCTATCTTTCCCCAGCCCCATATCATCAATGAAATCCCCATATCAATAAATCAAGTGAATGGAAAGTAACACAGGTGCACCCCACAAAGCCAACAACTAAAACCTGGCTTTCTGTAACAGGATTTTAAGCCTAAGGGATACTTGACAATTTAGCCATAGTGGCTTAGAAACAACCACCTGAATGTGCTCAACCAGTAACTTAAAAAGGCCATTAAGAGATGAAGGTCAACCCATTCCGAAAAAATAAGTCTGAACTGAGAACAAGGAAAGTTTTAAATCTGGAGAGGAGATGCAAACCATTATAATTACTATTATTAATAATCAAAATAATGAAGTACACAACCTAAACATGTGTTTTGTTAATCCCAGAGAATCACTGGAAGGTTCAAATTAAACATTACCTTTCTGTTATGAGACTAAAGGGATCCCTTTAATAAGTAATCATAGTAGTAAATGTAATAATGATAATAATACTAGCTATCATTTATACAGCGCTATTAAGTTTAGAAAGTGCTCTACATATATTACTGCACTTGATCTTCATATGAACCCCAGGAGATAGGTGCTATTATTATCCTCACATTGAAGAAACTGAGGTTGCCTCAGGTCACATAACTAGTAAGATTCTGAAGCATGATTTGAATTCAGGTGTTCCTGACTCCCAAGTCTAGCACTCTATCCACTCTTAACACTTAAGAGAATAAGACATGAGGGTTATGGATTCCCACACCTAGACTGTTCTCTCTTTTAGATTTCCCGTCATCAGCCCTAGCTTACAAATAATATTCAGATACTGAGTTTTAAAAAAGACTAGGGACATGCTGGCTGCCCTTTGCCAGGGAATGTTTATTCAGTGCAATGCATAGGGTAACAATACCTCACTGGCCCCAACATCAAGGGAATTCACAAGTGTTTTCCAAATAAAAATTATTCTTCTAATGGAGACACCATGGGAGCGTGTGCTCTCTGCAACCTCAGAGAGAACACAGGGCTAGGCTAACATTTCAGGAGAACATGTCCAGATGCTCCCTAAAAGAATTTTGCCTGAACATGTATTTAATAGTTTCCCCAAAGGGAAAAATTAAACCCATTCACACTGTACCAGGGCAGTCAAAAATCAAGATGTGTGTGTCACCACCTCTAAGGGCACATTTATTTTTAAGGTTAAGAGTCTCTGTGAGTCTGTTGCATAAGTGTTGAAGCCACAATGAAGCCAGGGGGCCATAAAGCTCAGGTTAAAAGTGGAAATGAATCTTTTCAGAAAATCAAGTTAATAATAATAAGAATACATCACTGCCAAGTACACAAAACCATGTTGCCCTGTGGGAATGTCTGTTCAATAGGCGATAGGGTAGAACAATCAATCTGTTGCTACTGTTTTGTTGTTTCAGTCATGTCCCACGCTTTGTGACCTCATTTGGGATTTTCTTGGCAAAGATACTGCAGTGGCTTGCCATTTCCTTCTCCAGCTCATTTTACAGATGAGGAAACTGAGACAAACAGGGTTAAGTGACTTGCCCTTATACTGGATGGCAAAGACTGAAAGCTCTAGTTTTTCACAGAATGGAGTGATGGCAGCCTGCACCAGGAGGTCAGGTGCTGACTTTCATCTTGAACTTGCACTCAAGTATACAACAACTATGATATACACAGGGCAGCTACATAAGTGCAGTAAGTAGAGTGCTGGGCCTGCAGGCAGGAAGACATCTTCCTGAGTTCAATCTAGCCTCAGAACACTTACTAGCTGTGTGACCCTGGGCAAGTCACTTGTTCCTGTTTGCCCCACTTTCCTCATCTGTAAAATGAGCTGGAAAAGAAAATGGCAAACCATTTCAGGTTTTTGCCAAAAAAAAACCCAAAATGGGGTCAGGAGAGTTGGACAAGACTAAAATCACTGAACAACATATTACAAGCTAACTAAAAGTAGAGTAATATCACTCTAAAGTCAAGTACTTTTAATGTGAACTCATGTGTTGGTGCCCCAATCCTGTCCTCTGACTCCACATTGTAGTCTCGAGCAAGGGGCACAGTGGGTTGATATAGGCGCCAGTGTTTCTTTCCTTCCAGTTGCAAGATAAATACCTGTAAAGAGGCACAAATTCCAAAAGTGTTATAGAATTTCCTGATTCCCTAAATCTCTTAGCCTTAAAAAGATCCTGGATAAATGAAAAGTTGATATTTCAGAAAAGAAAAATGTTTCTTTCTCTCCACATAAAGAGATGCCACTCTGCCCTCTCTTACCTCCATCCCAACTCTCATCCCAGGAAAAGATGCTCAACCAGGTTCATGTTATGGATCCCTTTTACAGTGTAGTGAAAACTCTGGGCCCCTTTTCAGAATATTTTTAAATCCATAAAACAAATGGGATTAGAAAGAAAATTAAAGGTTAGTGAAAACAAAGATGTAATTTTCTTTTCACCATCCAAGTTCACAGACCGCCTAAAATCTCCATATGGTCCCAACACCTTGGATTCCAGCTTAAGAACTCTACTCTAAATTATGTCTGCATCATTGCTGACACGTGAACTTTCAATGGTAAAAATAATTACATAACTTGTAAAGACATATCAAACAACAGAAAAATGTTCTCTTTACTTTTTCAAAGCAGCTCAAAAGACTTTAAATATCTTTCATTCTCTTAAAAAAAACTTTCATCTTTGACAAAGAAACTTGATCAACTGTTATAAAATCATAAATCCTGAATTCTTGATAATAAGCCTACCCCCCAAGGTAAATTTCAGTACTAAAGAGACAGTAAAATGTTTTAGGACAGAAAATCTTAGAGATCAGACATCAGATTTACTTAGGAATAGATATTTGTGTGGGAGATAGCAGAGTAGCAGGAAGCCATGCAAAGAGCTCCTCCCATTCACTTTTCCCTTCCTCAAACATCTAGAAAATGCACCAGACTGAATCCTGATGCAGAAATCTAAGAAAAAACCAAGGAGTCATTCTTCGAGCCCTGATCAGCAGAGTTAGAGGTCTGTGGACAATGGGGATGAAACACATCAGCACGTAGGGAGAGGATATGAACCAGGAAGTGAAGAGGTCCTAGCCTCGTGCCATTGCACCCCCAAGATCCATACCGGGGCCTAATGATGGGGACAGGTGAAAACTGGAAGCTTTGTTCTTCTTTACTAAGGTTCTAGGTCATAGAACTGGGGCAGGAATCACAGACCAAAAGGGAACATATGGTTCTCTAACTCTGAACCAGTATGGAGCTTCCAGGGAGCTGCCAATGGCCGAGTCTGGCATCAGTCTACTACTATTGCTGAGACCCAAACCCAGGTCAGAAAACTGCAGGTCTCAAACCAGAAGTCAACAACCATACCACTCTGGGAGCATTGAAAGTTTATAGAACTCCAAGCGTGAGCTGCCCCTGAGATCTTGGAACAACGCAACACTTAATACCCCAAAAAAGCAGCAACAGGACCAACCCAGACCCTCCACCCAGAAGTGAACAGAGCCTAGCCCCAACATTGAGCTGAAAGTCAAGAATGAGCAAAAAAAAGAAAAGAGAATTCTACTCTAAAATGCTATCATGGTGAAGGACACTCATGATACAAACCCAGAAGAAGAAAATGACAACAGTGCTTCAAAGAAAAATGCTTAGACACAAATTCAGCTAGAATTCCTAGAAACAGATGAATGTGAAAAAAAAAGATTAAAAATGTTTTTTGTCAACGAAATGAGAGAGCTAGAGAAAAAAACTAAAAAAGAAATGAGAGTTACGGAAGGAGTTGGGAATGGTAACTATCAGCTTGCACAAGAGACACAAAAATTTGCCTATGCAACAAACTCTCTAAAAAGTAGAACCGACCAAAGAGAGATCAATGACTCCATGAGAAAGCAAAAAATGTTAAAATAAAGTCCAAAGACTAGGGGAAAAAAAAAAGAAAAAAAAAGTATCTCATAGAAAAAACTAACTTGGTAAGAAAACATAAGATATCTCATAGCAAAAACCAACTTGATGAAAAAAAAAAGATCAAAGAGAAAAATTTAAAAATCATTTATCTATCTGAATGCCATGACCACCAAAAAGCCTTTCAAGAAGTCTTAAAAGAAAACTGCTCAGATCTCTATGATCTCACATCACCTAGAAACCTTCAGCCACTGTCTTCATCCCCATCTCTCAGAACCCTCTACACCCACAAATGTTCCTATTCTGTTCTGTTTCCTCTGACAGACTGCCCCCTCTGCTGTCTCCATTCTCTCACTTACCTTCAACCTCTAGTAGCTGTTTCCCTCCTGCCTATCATCCCATCTTCATTCTCTCAGTACCTACTGGCTGCCTCACTACTTCCTACAAACACACTCATGTTTTCCCCCATCCTCAAAAAACCCTCACTTGAACCATCCATCCCTATCATCCCACATTTCTCCTGCTTTTTGTTGCCAAATTTCTTAAGTCTGCCTATGATAAGTGCCTCTACTTCTCCACTCTGCCTCTCTTAATTCTCCACAGCCTAACTTCTGAACTTATCATTCAATCAAAACTGTTGTCTTCAAAGTTACCAATAATCTCTTAATTGCTAAACACAAAGGGAAAGATGGCAGCAGTTAGTTACCGCTAATGCTGCTACTTTTATTTGGAAATGATCTGTAAAAAAACAACCCGGGGCAGCTAGGTGATGTAGTAGTGGATAGAACACTGGCCCTGGAGTCAGGAGAACCTGAGTTCAAATCCACCCTCAGACACATAACACTCACTAGCTTTGTGACTCTAGGCAAGTCACTTACCCCGATTGCCTCACCAAGGGAAAAAAAAAACCCCAAATCATTTCAATAAATATTTGAGTCACTACTGTATACAAGGCTCTGGAATATATAAACCATAATTTTTCTTCCCAAGGCATTTGCAATCTAGTACATATATGTATCTATATCTACATCTATATCTATGTATCTATCTATATATCTATCTATGTATCTTTCTTTCTATCTATCTATCTATCTATCTATCTATCTATCTATCTATCTATCTATCTATCTATCTTCGTAGGTCCATGGAGCTACAGGAGCAAGCAGAATAGAGTCTTGGGGCAGGCTATTTCTAGGGGGGTTGTGTCTGTGTGTGTCTGTGTTGGTTACATGAGATTAAAGAGTACCTTGCTACCTTCTCTAAGCCAAGATAATCATAGATCTGGACTAAGAAAACAACATATTCAAAGATTTACTGCCAGGAATAATATTACAAACCACGCAATATTTTCCAATCTACTGTGGGACATGTACATAAATGCCTACATGCATATACAGAAGTAGGTAGATTATATTTATACACAAATATATAGTTGCAGCTCTACAGATAGATATAAACATAGTTATAGGGATATAGTCATAGATATCTAGATATGGATAAACAGTTATGCAGATACAGTAGATATAGGTCCCTTTTAATTTTTAAAGGAATTAGTAGTATTGAAATAGCTCTTACCTCAATATCATCATAATGAGGGGGCAAACCCTGGGACTCTGAGGGAGTAATATATACATTAGATCCAACCAGAGATCCAAAAAAACATTCTAGCTTCTCCTGGATTTTCCACAGCTCATCCTTTTAAGAAAAAAAAGGAAAGAGAAAGAAATAAAGACAATTCCATAGCTGCATTCTTCCCTTCTCAACCCCCAAATCATATGAATTAGGTAAGACTGAAGTTCCATAGGGTAAGCTTAAGAAGCAAGGTAGGTTAGGCTAAAAAGAAAAAGGGAGAGAAAATGAATTAGTCATTAACTATTATGTACCAATTATGTCCCTGGTGCCCAGGACAAAGAGGCAGAAAATGTCAGAGATGGGATTTGATCCTCAAGTCTTCTGACTCCAGAACCTATGTTCTTTCCATTAGAATCAGAGAGAAAATAAAAAATAAAAAAGCTAAGTAATACGGTGGACTTTGAAGTCAGGAAGACCTGAGTTCAAATTACTTGCTATGACTCTGGGCAAATTACATAATTTCTCTCAGCTTCAGTTTCCTCATTTTTAAATTGAAGATAATAAATAACAAGACCCACATCATAATGTTGTTGTCAGGACCAGCTGAGATAACATGTGTAAAGCACTTTAAAGCACCATAAAAATTCTAGTTGCTGTTGCTGCTGCTGCTACTACTACTACTACTATTATTTTAAAAGAGGAAAATCGGATCAATACAAAAACATTTTGAGAAATGTCTTATCTAGGCCACTAGGCTTACTTTTATAAACCTGTAGGCATCTCTATAGTTCTAAAGAAGTAACGGAAGGGATTGAACACTTGATTTGCTCTTCTCACTCTAAGAATTAGGAGCAATGATTTACAGTTGCAAAGAGACATATTCAGACTTGATATAAGAAAAATTGTTGTGTTAATCAAAGCTACCCAAAAAGTGAAAAGCTAATCTTTGGGAGTAGCTCCCAAACAGCCTAATTTATACCCAGGGAGGAGGTTTTCTTGGCCAAGATGGCTGGAGTGGTTTGCCATTTTGTTCTTCAGTTCATTTTACAGATGAGGAAACTGAGGCAAACAGGGTTAAGTAACTTGTCAGTCACACTTTTAGAAAGGCCAGATTTGAAATCAGCTCTTCCTGACCCCAGGCCCGTTGCTCTAGCCACTATAATACCTAGATGCCTAAAAAGTAGTTTAGTACTTCTCTTTCTGGAGGCTTGGTGAGAGATGTTTTTCTTACACCAGACCTGTGACTTCACTGCTATAATAGGAAGCAACAGGGAAAGAACTCTCTCTAACAATGAAGTCCAGCATCTGCCCTGCAAGTTGCACTTGCAGAGTGGCTTGTGTGGGGCCCCAACATGTTAAGTGGTTTACTCAGGGAAAACAGGCAAGATCCTGCAATATTCCTGACACAAGATCAGCTTTCCCTCCACCATATCATGCTGCCTCTAAGCTTCAGAGATTCTTTAATGACTGTGTATAATGTTTGGCTCTTCACACAGGTATTTCCAAGTCAACTGGAATAGCTCTCCATGTCCTGAAATGGGGAGAAACAAGGGAGCTGATGCTCCTCTTCTCGGAATATCTCAATGCTAGCCTATGATTTTCTGTCATCTGGTCTTTTTCAACCAGTGATCTCTGACTTGGGCAACTCAGTCTACAAAATCAGTGCTTTCATCTTTCCTTCTTAAAATTTCCCATCACCCTTCGCCTTGCTTACTGAATGAATGAGCATTCTATTAACCTAGAACCACTCCTTCTTGACTCTGCATTCCTTTTTTTCCCCCTTTTTGCTAAGACTCGTTTTCTTGAACTTGCCTTTTTCCAAAAACTGGCCAAGATGAATCTTTCCTCCTCTCTCTTTCTGTGTCCAAGAATATCAATAACTGCCTTTTCACAGATTAATAAACATGTTCAACAATAACTACTGAGACAATGAGAAGAGAAGCGAAGCTTATTTAGCTTTATTCTATTTTCTCTTCCAATTTCAAGTACTATTGGTTCCATGAAAGTCATAGAGTTTAAAGCAAAGATTCTGCTGAAGACCAGAAATCACATAGAGGACGTCTGAGAATTCCTAATGTAGTTTTAACCTATTAAAGGTTAACTTAGAATTTGAAATGATATCAGGCTCACAACTTGCTGAAAAGTCAGGGCTCCTATATCTTGCCAGATGCCTCCCAGCAACAATCTGATCAGTGCATTTTCACAGGAACGAAATGAATGAATTGGAATCAAATCCTTGTAAGACCCAAACACCATTACAACTACAGAATGAAACAACATGCCCCATCTCCCACTCCCTGTAGGGACGTTTCATCTAATGTTGTTTTTAAGATACCAAGCGCTCAAGTAAAGTCAGGAAACATCCCTTAAGCACTTACTAGGTGCCAAGCTCTTTCTAAGTGTTGGAGATGCAGAGAAAACAAGGATGTTAGTAGAGTTGAGGGGCAGGTGAGAAACAGGAGGAAAAGTGGAGGGGAGAAATTGTACAGGCCAATCAGGCCAGGGAGGGGTATTGTAGGTTGAGAACCAAACTCTTCCTGTTCCAATAAACCCAGCCAAGAGGCTAAGCAGCAGAACTAAGGTCATGGCCACCTTAGAGTCAGGAAGATGGTACGTGCAAGATTTGTGTGTGTGAAGTGAGGTGGAGGAAGGGGTCTGGGAGGGTGCCGAGTCGCTTTCTGAAGGCAACTGCAGGCTGCTTTCCAGAATTTGTTAGATCCGTTATAAGAATGAGCAAAGGGGCATTCAAAAAACCAAAGGATATTTGGGGGTACAGAAAAGACACCTACAGAAAACAGGCACCTTCCTAACTTTCTGCTGATCTCTTGATGATAAAATATCAAATAACTTCACTGTTTTAATTTTTTTTTCTTTTATTTCTGAAAAAGTGATATCAAAATGCTTTTCCTGCCCAGCTCTAGTTAGAGCAAGCAGGAGACCTGAATAAAGAAAATAAACTTCCTATCACCGCCTGCAGGCAAATAAACTCAGGCTCCCTCACACAAGAGAAACTGCCAGCAGTTCAGGCCTTCTCTCTAATAACAATGCCCTATCTCTCATGTACTGTCACAGGATCTTAAGATTTATAATTTGGAAGGTACCTTGAAGGCCAACCAATACACCTTCTTCATTTTGTTCAGAGGGAAACTCCGGCTCCTTCAGACGGGTTATATAATTGAACCAAGGTCATAACAGAGCAGTAAGCAACAGAGCCAGCATTTGAACCCAGGACCTCTGCTGTTAAATCTAGTACCACACAGCCTCTCAGATGATCCAAACACAAATAATTACCAAAAAGAAGAAGACAGAATCTAATGAGATTGTTTTAAAGAAACAATCAGAGGCTTTATGTTGGAGTGCTACATAAGGATTTGATTATAAAACAATAGTCATAGGGCAATGGATAGAGCAGCAGCCCTGGAGTCAGGAAGACCTGAGTTCAAATCCAGCTTCACACACTTACTAGCTGCTTGACCCTGGGCAAGTCACTTAACTCTCATTGCCTCCCCTTGCTCCCTACCCCCTCAAAAAATAAAACAACAGCCATGTTCCTGGGAAAAGTATTGGTCCAAACATCTTCATTTTACACAAAGGCAACTGAGGTCCAAAGAAATGAAATTCCTTGCCTATACCATGCAGGAAAAGGGGCCAAACCCTCTTTCATACCCAAGAAGGACCTCTGACTCCAAATCCAGTTTCTCTTTCCACTATGTCAAAGATAATTCATTGATTAAAAAGAAAAATAGACATTTCCCCCAAAAGCTAAGTGGTCAAAGTATATGAAGGGAAAAAAAACAGTTCTCAAAAGATAAACAGAGGTGGGCAACTAGGTGGTGAAGTGGATAAAGCACAGGCCCCGGAGTCAGGAGGACCTGAGTCTAAGTCTGGCCTCAGACACACAACACTCATTAGCTACGTGACTCTGGGCAAGTCACTTAACCCCAATTGCCTCATCATAAAAAAAAAAAAGATATACAGACTATTAACAGCCATATGGAAAACTGTTCCAAGTGGTAAGGAAAATACAAAACAAACAACTGAGGTTTTCCTCACACCAAACTGGCAAAAATGGCGTAAGAATGGAAATCACTGCTTTAAGGGTTGTAGAAAGATGAGCGTGCAAATACATTATGAGTAGAACTGTGAACTGGTCTAATGAATTCTGGAAAGCAAAATAATCAAGCTGCCAAATCTTGGGTGCTTTCACCTTCACAAGATTTCTCACAACTGACTGCTTCTCTCCATTTACACAGCTCCCAGCACATCTTGACTAGATTAGGAGGCTGCAAAAGTCCCAAGTTTCTCACCACTCCAGTCTTCTCGTATACACTCCTGTCAAAATAATTTTCCTTAAGGGCAAACCTGATTATGCAACTTCCCCACTCAATCAACTCCAGTGATGGAGGAAAAAAAGTAAGAACTTGAACCTATCTTTCCAGCCTCAGTGACCATTACCATTACATCCTTCATGCTGTAATCCCGGCAAACTGGCCTTCTCTCAATCCCATGTATTGGCCATGCCACGTGCCTGGAATGTGCCACCTTCTGCAGGAAGTCTCTGCCAATTCCTGGAACTGCTAATACCCTCCCCTCCTAAACTATTCAGTATTTAACCACTTTGTATTTTTTTCCACTATATATTTATCCTATGTATACCTAGGAATGTACTTCTTGTCTCCCCATTAGAATCTAACTTTCCTGGGTGGAGAGAACATTTTATTCTTTATATGTTATCACCAGTGCCTTACCTCAGATCAGAACCTGACACATACAAGTAGCTTAATAAACACCTGACCATTTGGATCTGCTTCCAGGAGCCAAGATGGCAGAGTAAGAACTAAGTCTCTCTCACCCTCCCTTATTGACCTCTGAAAGCCCAGAAAATATTGCCCCAGGAAAGACCCTAGAACAGCTGAACCAGCAGAAAGACAGGGTGAAGCAGTCTTGTAGCCCAGGAAGCTTGGGGGATTAATAGGGAAGGCCCCTCTTGCTTTGGGGGGAAGGGAGCAGCACAGAACTGGAGGTGTCCCAGCAAGCTATAGGAAAGCTTCACCTCAGCATACCAGGGGAGATGCTAAACTCCAGAGTGGTAGTGCAGCCAAGTATTAACACCAGGACACCCC